AATTATCCTCATGTAAAGGTCACAATAATTAAGAATGAAATGACACAAAATGCACATTAAATAAACACTAAAAATTAAGGGAAGATAGAGCGACACAGAAAGGTACACACCTATAGACAAAAAAGGAAAGGAAAAGAGAAAACAGACAAAAAAACAAGATACAATAGAGAGGCATAATATAAACTTTGCACAATGAGGAAATAAAGTAATAGTGAGTAGAAACACTTATATAATGATTGAGTTAACAATACGCTGAAAGGTCTGTGTGGTTTAGATTTGTGGGGTCTTCTTTTGTCCCTACTCCTTTCCATCTGTTTTTTTTTCTAGTAGTGTCTAATGGTTGGCCCTCCATAGATCTTATACCGTCAGTACCCTTTTCCCACACGACACATGGGACCAGTGGCGGATCCAGAAGCTAATCTCGGGAGGGGCACTGGCAGATCATTTTAAGAAACAATCCAGGCACAAAAACCACTACAGTCAAACCGTTTAAAAAAATGTTTGATAACTTACTCAGGGTCTGCTGGGATAGTGGCTGTAGTGTGTGTGAGGGTCGCAGTATGTGTATGGAGGGGTAGTGTGTGTGTGAGAGGGTGCAGTGTATGTATGGGGTAGCAATTTGTATATTGGGAGCAGTGTATTTGTGTGTAAAGGGTGCAGTGTGTTTGTGTGTGAGTGGTGCTGTGTGTGTGTGTGTATGGGGGGATGTGTGTGTATTGGGGCTATGTGTTTAAGGGGGGGCAGTGTGTTTATTGGGGCAGTGTGTATAAGGGGGAGGCAGTGTGTGTAAGGAGGGGGCTGTGTGTGTAAGGGGGTAACTGTGTGTGTGTAAGGGAGTGGCTGTGTGTGTGTAAGGGGGGCTGTGTGTGTAAGGGGGGTTGTGTATGTAAGGGGGGCTGTGTGTGTGTGTAAGGAGGGCTGTGTATGTAAGGGAGGGCTGTGTGTAAGGGAGGCTCTGTGTAAGGGGGGGCTGTATATTTGTGTGTGGTGCAGTGTGTAGGGGGTTATAGTATGTGTGAGGGGATAGGGGGGCTGTGTGTGGTGCAGTGTGTGAGGGGATAGGGGGCAGATTAAAGATATATATATATATTTTTTTTTTTTTTAATTATTAAATAATTAAATAAATATAGCTAATGTCCCCTCTCCCTTCTTACCTTTGCTGAGGAGACATTGCTTTCTTCCAATCCCTGGTTGTTCTAGTGGGGGAGTGAACTCTAACCTGCAGATCAGGCCAGAGTTCACTCTCGCGAGAACGGAGCGTTGCCATGGTAACCGTGGCAATGCTCCATACTCGCGAGAGGAGAACCCCGGGGGAGCTGCAGGTAAGAGTTCCCATGGGTTCTCTCTCCCTCGCTCTCCCCTGCCGGCTGCCAGTAATGTGCCTGTGTGGGCTGATCACTGATCTCCCCTCTGGTCCGTAAAGGCAAACAGCAGGGATGGTGCTTGGATAGCACCAGCCCTGCATTGGCTGGCAGAGGAGAGCCTTGGACTGCCATGCAAAATTAGGTTGATTCCAACTTTTTGGAACAACCCGTCTTATTATTATGTAAACACAAACAAAGATTGTTTTCTTGTTTTTAACAAACACATGGAAACATTTGGAGAGAGCCCCGAGAACTGATAGAAAACTGTAATTTAAGTAAACTTCAATAAATGACCACGGGATCAACACACCCTGTAAAAGGTCTATAATTTTAGAGTTCTTGATAAAAAATTGGGTACAAGTCTATGTCCTTCAAGAAACCCATTAGACAAAATCCAATAAAAATCCAATAAGTTCAACAAGATACCCCACCATAATAAGTGTGGCTTTGAAAAAAAAAAAAAAAAAGAGGTGTGGCATTCATGTTTGCAAAAAATGTTTCTTTAAATAATATATATGAAGAATTTGACCCAGAAGGCAGATACATTATATTAATATGTGAAATAAACAATAAGCTATTCACACTAGCTAACATTTACGCACCAAATAAATCTACAATAAACTTTATCACAAAAGTATTTAAGAAAATAGAGCAGATTAAGCAATGGTTGGTACTAATTATGGGGGACTTTAATTGCGTTGTTGACCCTCTGAAAGATAGAAAGAGCCAGACTGACCGAAAGAGTAGGAAGGCAAGTGAGAATAGAATGCAAAATGTATTGAATAATTATGATTTGAGAGACATATGGAGAACATTTCACCCCAATGAACTAGATTATACATGCTATTCTAGACCATTTAACTCTTATTCCAGAATGGACCTTATTTTTGGAAATGTGGCCATGCTATATCTAGTTAAAAGAATTGAGATACAGGACATAGCATGGTCAGATTATAGCCCTATTATGTTAGAATATAAAGATACCTTTGATACTTTCCGTAAAGATTGGCGCCAAAAAGACTATATATTACATAAAAATAATAATGTTGAAGAAATTAAGAGAATAACCAATCTCTTCATTTCAGAAAATAAAACCAAAAGCACACCAGATATCACGGTCTGGTGCACTTATAAAAGCGTAGTTAGAGGTCACATGATAAAAATGGCAGCCAACGCAAATAAAAAAGGAACACCGCCTCTTTTTATATTGTATATAACACAAAGTGATTATAAAAAGCAGAACAAAATTACACCCTCTACATAAATAGCAAGGAAGATTGCAGAAATAGAAAAACAGATAAACAACCAGTTAATGAACAAAGCAGCTAAACACTTAGAATTATTACAATCTAAGTGGTATCTAAAGGGCAATAAGAGAGAAGCACTAATGACTAACAAACGGAAAAAAGAGAAACACAAAAGAGTAATATATAACATAAAGGATAAAGAAACCTATCTAATGGCCCCAGAAAAAAATAGGAAAAGCGTTTGAAAGATTTTATCAAGATCTATATAACCTACGAGAAGAAATATACGGCAAAGGAGAAGAGATTGAGACATTTTTCCAAAACATACATATGCCAAAAATCCTACCCGACCAAGTAAAAACTGATAAACCAGCCCATAACAGAAGTAGAGGTTAGTAAATCAATAAATACGCTTAAAATAAAGACTGCTCCAGGCCCAGATGGCTTTACAAACACATTTTATAAACTAATGAAAGATCAACTAAAAGGAGAACTTTCTAATATCGTTAAAAAAATAATGAGAACAGGAGGCTGTCCTGGAGCGCTGTTGAGAGCGAACATTGTCCCCATCCCAAAAGCAGATAAAGGTCCAGAATGGATTGGCACTTATAGACCTATTTCGCTAATCAATACTGATATTAAAATTCTATCTTCTATTCTTGCTGAAAGATTAAAAATAGTTATACCACAACTAATCAACTATGATCAAGTAGGATTCATACAATGGAGGTCCCCAATCAAGAATCTCAGAAAATTAATAAATATATTAGAAGAAACAGATAAAAATGGAACCCCTCTTACTGTCAATAGAAGTGGAGAAAGCGTTTGACAGGGTTGGTTGGGGTTTCATGTTTGCCACCTTAAAACCATTTGGAATTACTGGTTCAATACTATAAGATATATCCGCTCTCTACAACTCTCCATCAGCAAAGGTCACAGGGTCAGGATTTACATCACAAAACTTTAAGATTAAAAATGGGACCAGACAAGGATGTCCTCTTTCACCTTTACTGTACATAATGGTGTTAGAACCTCAAGCGTTTTTTAATAAGATACAATTTAAAAAAATTAAAGATTTCACAAACTCGTTAGGTCAAACAAAACTAAATATCTATGCAGAGGACGTCCTATTAACATTAGAAGAACCAAATATATCGGTCCCAGAGTTACCGAAGGAGATAAATAAATACTCAAAAGTCTCAGGAAATAAAATGAACCTAGAGAAATCAATATTTGTCACTAAAAATATGAACAATAGTCTAATCAACTAAAAATATGAACAATAGTCTAATTAACTTTCTTGTATAAAACATCGGGCTCCCTAAAAATAAAGACAGGCTAAATTATTTGGGCATAGCCATAACGTCAGATATAAAAGACCTAATAGAAGCCAACTTCTCACCATTATTAAAACAAACCAACAAAAACCTAAGGGAATTGAAGGGATTGGGTTTTTCTTGGTCGGGTAGAATCAATATCCTAAAAGCATATATTTTACCGAAATGGCTGTACATATAGAGAATGATCCCCCTCAACTTCCATAAGACTGGTTAAATTTACTACATTCATCCTTCTGTTATTTTGTATGTGGCAGTAAGAAAGCAAGAATTAAAATGAAAAACGTGGCTAGGTCAAGGCAAGATGGAGGTCTGGGGAGTCCAGATATTTCCCAGTGTTATCTAGCCATCAGACTTTTCCTCCAATCATATTATGGAGGAATTTAATATCCCCCTAAAGAAACTTTGAATTATCTGTGAATCAAAGGTTTTATGACAGAATATCTCTTTAAAAATAAGGGGGAGAAAATTAAGAACTATAAAAACTTACTGACAAAATGCACTAAAGTTATATATAGATGGAGACATGATAAACCTGTAGAATTGATCAATAAATGGGAAAAAGAGCTACAAATACATATAGAAGAAGAAGAGTGTGTAAATTCTCTAAATAAACTATATAAACACATACATTGCCTAAACCTTACGGAAACACAATTAAAACTTTCCAACAGATGGTACCTAACACCTAAACGTTTAAAAAAAATCTTTCCAGAGTCATAAGATAGGTGTTGGGAATGTAACGTCAATTAAATCAATTTGATCCACATTTTGTGGAAATGTGTACTTATAAATAGGCATGTGCATGGGAAAATGTTTCGGTTTGGTTCGGCATTCCGAAATTCTGGACTTTGCAATTCGGCACTTCGGCAATTCGGCACTTCGGAAATTCAGTAATTTCGGAACTTCGGGACCTCAGCAATTCGGCACTTCGGCAATTCGGCACTTCGGAACTTCGGACACTTGGACACTTTGGAACTTCGATACTTCGGAAATTCAGTAATTTCTGAACTTCGGAACTTCGGCAATTCGGCACTTCGACACTTCGGCACTTTGGAATTTCTGAACTTCTCTTGCAGCCGCTTGGTAGATAACTCCCTAATACCGTGGGAATTAGGGAGTTATCTACCAAGCGGCTGCAAGAGAAGTTCAGAAATTCCGAAGTGCCGAAGTGTCGGCACTTTAGGGAGTTATCTACCAAAAGGCTGAAAGACCTAAATTGGTCTTTCAGCTAAATTTACTAATACTTAGTAAAGATTACTTAGTATTAGTAAATTATGCCCCTACTCGTTATACTGCAAGTAGGGGCATCTCTAGTATACAGTGAGCAGCCAGTGGCTGCTCACTGTTAAAAACAAACCTAAACATTATATTGCCATAATAAAAAGTAATGATAACCGACGCACTTAAAAAAAAAAAAACTAAAAAATTAAGTAACCAATCAGAGTGTTATGAGTCAAATTACACAGCGTGGGAAAATTCCAAAGAACTTTCCCACGCTGTGTAAAATGACACAGAGCACTCTGATTGGTGGATTTCAAGTCAACCAGAGTGCTGTGAAAGCTAAATATAGAGACTTACCTGTCATCTCTTCATTTACCTGTTAGAGCACTCTTATTGGATGGCTTAAACCCACCAATCAGAGTGCTCTGAGCCTAATTGCAGGGCGGGACAAGGCTTTATAAGCCTTCCCCCACCCTGCAGAGCTCAGTCTGCGCGGAGCCCTCGCCGGGTGAAGATGGATAATTTTTTTTTGCGCTCGTTTTTTGTAAGTTTTTTTTTAAGTGCGTCGGTTATCATGGCTTTTTATTTGGCCTTTTTGGGGCTGAAAAAATAAGATTTTAGAAGAAAGAAAACATCAAATGGTAAGTTTTATTTTATTTTAAATTTTTTAACATGTACTTAGATAATGGTCCCCCCTCACTATTTTTAGGGTTAGGGGGGTAGGAAGGGGTTCATTTTTTTGGGGAGGGGGTGACTAGGGGTTTGGGGATCCCTAGTCACCTGGCGAGGGGGGGTTAATTTTTTTATTTAGGGCCCCTATCCGCCGCTCAGGGGTGGGGGCCAGGGGGAGGACATTAGGTCCCCCTTAATTAGTATTTAGGGCCCCCACCCACCGCTCAGGGGTGGGGGCCAGGGGGGAGGACATTAGGTCCCCCTCTCATTCTAATTTAGGGCCCCCCACCCACCGCTCAGGGGTGGGGTCCCGGGAGAGGACATTAGGCCCCCATAATTAGTATTTAGGGCCCCCATCCACCGTTCAGGGGTGGGGGCCAGGGGAGAGGACATTAGGTCCCCCCTCATTCTAATTTAGAGCCCCCACCCAGGGATGGGGCCGGGGGGAGGACATCTGGTCCCCCCTAATTAGTATTTAGGGCCCCCACCCACTGCTCAGGGGTGGGGGCCAGGAGGGAGGACATTAGGTGTCCCCCCTAATTGGTATTTAGGTCCCCCACCCACCGCTCAGGGGTGGGGGCCGGGGGGAGGACAATACGTCCCCCCCTTATTCTAATTTAGGTCCCCCACCCACCGCTCATGGGTGGAGGCCGGGGGGAGGACAATAGGTCCCCCCCTTATTTTATTTTAGGGCCCCCATCCACCGTTCAGGGGTGGGGGCCAGGGGGGGCAATAGGTCCCGCCTTCAGGTTAGAAGCCCCCACTCGCGTGGCACAGGTGGGGGCTTGGGAGGGGGGGGACTTGTTTTTTTTGTTTTGTTTTTTTATTACAGTGAGCAACCACAGGCTGCTCAGTGTTTAATAGACATGCCCCTACTCGCGGTATAGCGATTAGAGGCATAATTTACTAATACTAAGTAATCTTTACTTAGTATTAGTAAATTTGGCTGAAATACCAATTCAGGTCTTTCAGTTTTTTAGTAGATAGCTCCCTAATTCCATGGGAATTAGGGAGTTGTCTACTTATTCATGCCTGTCATTACATTGACTGGCTAAGTAACTTACATTTTATATGAATGTGTGTAACTTGATTGTTGCAAGTGTTGCAAATGCTTACAGCTGAATCCTGGCTATGTTTGTATACTTTTTATTTAAAATTGTATACAGTGTAACAATCTTCTTCTTCCACTGGGTAAGTATATTAGTACTTAGGCAATACTGTGCTTCGGAACTTTGGCACTTCGAAACTTTGACACTTCGGAACTTGAGCAACTTCGACACTTCAGCACTTCGGCACTTCCGAACTTCGGTAATTTCAGGACTTCGGGACCTCGGCAATTTGGCACTTCGTCAATTCGGCTATTTGGACATTCGGAAGTACCCGAATGTCAGAATTGCCCGAAATTCGTTCGAATTCATATTTGGACCGAAACAAATTGCACATGTCTACTTATAAATACATTTTGGAAAGATTTAATCAGTGCAATATATCAGATAACGGAAATGAAACTAGCCTTTAAGCCGAAAGTGGTCCTGTTAACCTAAATTGGCCTAAAATGACAAAAAAAGTTTTAATTTTAATATTACACATTATTACGGCAGCTAAATTACTTCTAGCATGAATTTGGAAAACAGGGAAAATCCCATGCATTCAACAATTAATAACACAAGTCATAGGGCAGGCAAAAATAGAAAGGGGTAAACCGGTGAACTTAGGAAATAGATACACTCAAATAGAAGACTGGGACACATGGATAAATAAAATGAAAACTATAACTTAACAATTATCACAATAGAATTTTAAAGTCTCTCCTGTGTGCGCTCTCTTTTGCTGGCATTCTTTTTAATTTATTTTTTCTCTCCTTTTTTTTTTTTGTTAAATAATAACAGTCCAAGGCAAGAAGTAACATTATTATGCTCCTCTCTTCTGTACTCTTCGCTCAACACTTAATGACTGTAAGGTTAATTTCCTGCTATAGTAAGGGAAGGTGATAGGGAAGAAGAGGGGAGAAAAAAGGAAAGGGGAAAATAACCTGTTCCCAAAATGGACAGATAAAAAGAATTATAAAATCAATTGTATTACACTAGGCATAAGGTGTGCGCTCTCTCTCCAAAGATAGACAGGGAAAGGTAAGATTAATAAACGTGAATTCACAATAGGATTTAAGAATTAGTGCCGGGTTGTGGGATTTGGGTGGGAAGGATTGGGGAGTATAACAGGATATGAATACATAAGTCCCAGACTTAGATTTGCGAGATTCACTGTACTAGTGAACTGGTCTATGTTCGGAGGAATTCCCCCGAACCTTAACCTGCTCTCTTACGCATGCCGGTCGGTAAGTGAGGAATGTCTGTAATATGATTTAAGCCACGTAGCAGAAGAAGCCAGACAACATTATGATGGTAAACTGATTCTAAACTTAGAAATATAGGTAAGAAATACACATTAGACAATATGGAAACACACAATATAACATATATAGTGAAATTAGATTTTGTAAAGAAAAAAAAAACCTCAAAAACGTCAAAATAACAAATCCACTTTAAATTCCACTTTTTAAGTTGTACTGCAAAAAGCAGATCAAACTAAAGTCTTTTGTTTCTAAAATCCTACATTCAGAGTTTAGTATAGTATAAAAATATGTTATACTTCTCTACAGATTAAAACATCAAATTTAAAAATGAATCTGTTCAGAATGCCAGTATCTCTAAAACAAAAGCTGTACATTCTTTGGGAGAAAAGACGAAGATTAATGATAACTATAGTTTTGATACATATATTTAATGATACCGGAGATGGGTAGGCAACATTTACACTTCAAAACAAATTTCACGAGTTCTGTTCTTCATAAGGATGAGCATGTTGAATGTTGAAAAGTATTTTAAAACGTTAGCTAAACCCGTTAGATTACAATATCAGTATCAATGAGAAAACAAGATTTTCTGTTTGCAGTTTCAAAAAATACTAATAACTTTTACGATAGAATTAAACCAAATGTGGCAAACATGTCAAAATGCAATTTATTAATTTATTTGAGTAGTGACTTTCAACAATATATTTATGAACATATATTTCATAAATATTCCTTGCTCCGGCCCTATCTTTTCCTTCCTTTGATGTTCACAATATCCTCCTATTTAAAACCACTCCTTTATTTATCGCCCCCTTGGTAATGCTATTTTTTATTTATTAACATTTTTCTTTCCGGCTACCCCACTTCCTCTCATCTAGCACCTCCTCCCTAATACTTGGGGATTTTAATATCCCAATCAACAATCCCACCTGCCTTGATGTATCTCATCTGATCGCTGTAACCTCCTACTTTGGATGCAATGGTCTAAGTCAACAACTCATACGGTCGGAAACACTGTTTATCTCATCTTCACTGATCTTTGTACCACCACTAATCTCTCCAATGTTCTATTTCTTCTATCTCACCACCATCTTTTGATCTTTGACATCGACAGGCTCGCTGCCTTGATGTTCTCTTTGACTCCAACCTTTCCTTCATCTCTCATGTCCAGATGATCACCAAATCCTGCTGCTTTCTTCTCAAAAAACATAGCACACATCCACCCCTATTTAACCTTGGACGCGGCTATGGTGCTGATCCATGCCACTATCCTCTCTCGCCTAGAATACTTGAATACATGTTCCCAACTTGTACTGTTAAAGTCTATAATGAATGCAGTGGTGAGGCTTATCTTCCAGTCCGTCCGCACCTCCCACACGTAACCCCTCTGTCAGTCCCTACATTAGCTTCCCTTAAGATATAGGCTTTAATCTAAGATTCTGGTACTTGCTTACAAATCTCTACATAATGCTGCTCCAACCTACCTACCCTACCTAATACACAAGTATGTCCCGTCTAGGCCACTGAGCTCCGCTGAAGACCTAAGTCTATCCTCTGTTCGTGCACAAACCTCTGTTTATTAATTTATTTATTACTGGTATTTATAAAGCACCAACAGATTCTGCAGCGCTGTACAATAAGTGGATGACGTACAATATACACAGACAAATACAAAAGGTAGAGAGGGCCCTGCACGTAAGCTGATATTTAGCCATTGAAGATCTTTTATACAAAGTGTTGCTTGCTTTCAACACTTCTCTAACGCTGCACCATTCCTGTGGAACTCACTTCTCCTTTAGACTTTCACCCATTCTCCATTCTTTCAAAAAATCATTGAAAACTCACTTCTTCATGAGAGTGGAATGGTTAACAGCTTTCCTACCCCAAACTCTGATTCCACTCCTGCAACTGTCA